GACCCCACCCCCGAACACCCAAAGCCCCACCACCGACACCGAAAGCCCCACCAGATGATTCGTCGCCCCACCAGATGATTCGTCTGGAGAGAGAATAAGAGACCCCGAAAGCCCAACCAAAAGCCCCACCACTGACACCCGCCCTCGAACCCCAGCACCAACACCACTGACCCCCGCCCCCCCCAGCACCCTCGCCCCTCCACCCCCACACCACCAACCCCCGGCAGCGGCAACACTTGCCCCCTACCAACCCAGCGACATATGGGGCCCCGCCCCTATCAGACCCCAAGACACCCCCGAAATGCAAAAAGTGAACATCCCAGCGCTGCTGCGCACCCCACAATGTTTTTATTCTTTTTTGCTTTCCTTGTTTTTCAACCCCACCACGCCAGGGTTGGGGGTCCGGTGCCCGGGGGTGACAACCCTGGTTGTTAACCTCGTAAGATATTCAACCAGTCTTTGAATTTTGATTCCAGTACATGGCAATCTGGATGGTATTCTACCCACTGGCCGATCCATGCGTGAACTGGGATATTCCCATGGAGAAAGAAATGATTTTTATCTTCCAATGGATGCACGATCTTCTGATCCTCGCCGAAGGTGGTCTACTGCACCACTTCATCAAAACTCTTCCAGATCTTTTCATCAGGCGGATAAAACTTCATACAAGCTTTCTCTGAGAGATGTGATCAACAGAAACAGATATGGCCATTTCTTCTGTGGTGTGGGGACAGCAAGGCAGCTCCAGCGTCTTGGGATTTCGCCTGAAGGGAACACTCCTCGACAGCATAAAACAAAGCTGATGGTGGGGCATGGTCCATGGTTAGAGCCATGGTCCTCGACTTCCAATTTTGCCTGCCACACTGTCCGAGTCGTTGGAGGCATTGTCCATGGTTACTCGCAATTTTGCCTGCCACACTGTCCGAGTCGTTTACTGATGGCAAAAACGGTCATTGGAGGCATAACTAGGAGCCCATCTGTGCTCGTTAATGCTTCCCCCATTTTACATCATCTCGTGCAAAAGGGATTTACCATTCCCCCTTGGCGCAGTTTTCAGATCGGCAATGCAGCAACTGCAGTTCCTGTTTCCAAATAGAAACCATATCACGAGCTACACTCATAGCGGGCTGAACTAAGAGACACCGGAATGCCATAATTTCACTAGGACCCATCTGTGCCAGAACTTCAGAGCCATCGACCCGAATGCCACAATCTCACACGACCTGTTCCACCCGAAAGCCTGCAACAGGTTACGGCCTCCGTCCACCACTAACGACATGCACAAAAGACAACAATTACGACAGCGTATCTTTCCCTGTTCTAGGGTACGATTCAATCCCATTTTCCACACTTGGTGCATGGTGGAGCGAAGCCCTACGCATCCACTACCCTATGTACTTCTGGACTTTTACATACATACCACATTGACTGGAATCGCCAGCGTGCCCTGGCCGTCCGACTGTTCCAGACTGCTGAATAGCACAGCATGAAATCAGAGCGAGATTTAAACAGCTACTGCCAGACCTTGAAAAGCAACTTTGACAGTGCTCATAAGAATGGGGGAGCGATTCCCAATCTTGCAGAGAGACTTGAAGCCCTATTCAGTAGGGAGTTGCCCTGTTCCTTGCAATGCTGCTCAAAGGCTCAACAGACACACTGAACATCGAGCGGCTAGAGTCTGCCAGGACTGCACTAGAGGACCTCACAAGAGTAGACGGCCTCACTTAAACGAGTAGACCTCACTAGAGTGGAAGCACGGATGCTGCATCCACCCATCGGGAAACAGGCTGTCGATCACAGCTTAGACCTGCCTAAATAACCCCTAGTGCATGGGGAATCTAAATAACCCCAAAACCTGATTTCCCGGTACCATATTTGATCACAAAAACACGCGCAAACGGGAAACCAACAAAACTCGGCCTCTCTCTCTCTCTCTCTCTCTCTCTCTCTCTCTCTCTCTCTCTCTCTCTCTCTCTCTCTCTCTCTCTCTCTCTCTCAGTTTGAGACAGGCAAGGAGGAATAGGAAGGGAAGAGAAGAAGTTCGACCAAAAGTAGGCACGAAGAGGGGGGAGGCAATTGTTAGTGTGGAGACCGGAAGGTGAGGCAAGGAGAGAGTGACATAAGTTGAGGCTGGCAGTATCCTTGGGGTAACCTGTTTTGGGGGTTAGGTAGGGGGGAGGGTGGAAGGAGGTGGGTTGTCAAGCACACAAGGTGCAAATGATGGGAAAGGGTTGTTGCGGGATGTTGTGGGTTGGTGGGGGTTAGGTGCATGGAGGGTCGGGGAATGGGTGAGAGAACATGCATGCCAAACGAAGAGTGACCATTGAAAGACGTTGGGCGTTTGGGGGAGGAAAGCTTGGGAAAGAGTGGTTGTTGGCATACAGGGAAAAAGCTGGGCAGCACAAATTGGGAACGCTTGCGATAAGGAGGCACGGCAGAGAGGGAGGAATTCCGATACGGACATGGTATGCAACATGCGGGGATAGCAGGGAAATGAAGCCACGCAGTTGTGCGCATGCATCAGGCATCATGGTCCCAAGCGGGTATACGCGCAGCAGTTCAGCATATGGGTCTGCCCATAGCAATCTCCACCACCACCGGTTGGAGAAGCCACGCATGAGTGGAAACATGTGTGGGGCCCTGCATGGAAGAATAGCACAGGCAACGCGGGTGGGGGAAGGGGGGGACGAGAACCATCACAACTAAGCATCACACATTGTCATCGATGCTTGCCAAACTACCTGGATTTTGGTTCATAGCGGTCAGACGGACTCGAACCACTGTTGCTGATGGCAATTTGTTTTCCCCGTTGAAGCCCTTCTCTTTTCATGGTCAAACCGGCGGTCACCAATTCGGTCACCAATTCCGTTTTTTAGCTTTTCTTTTCCCCCAATCCAGTTGACAAATCTTATACTGTGAAGTATGTACGTTTCAGAAAAGCCTTACGCCTTCCTGGAGCAAATGGACAAACAAGAACTGCTTCAAGCATTGCCAAGTTGAAACACTATCGAGCCCACATCTGTGAGGAGAAGATTGAGTCCAACATCAAACAGTGCTGACAAAGATGGCAAACTTGTTGTGACTTATAATACAAAATCGCTCCCATGGATGTGATAGCAAGACGCTGACGAGGATTTTCAATTACTCGTTAACCAGATAAGCATCAACCATAACCTTGTATACACACGACCCCAGCACCAGCACTTGTACGCAGACACGAGCACGAGTGGAAGGATGCCATAACAGGTGAATCAAGATTATCCCAGAACAACCACTTTAGCACCCCAGACGAAACTGCTCATTACACACGTGGGTAATCCTGATATGCAGAAAAAAGGCCCAGGCCTTAACTTTGGTGATTGAGCCAGACGAGAGCCTCCCTCCTCTCTTCTCCAATCGGATGCATCGCCAAACTTCTCCACCTCTAACTGGCTTTGCATTGATTTATACCATATATGCAAAGCGCATACGGATGCATTTATGGTCACAACATGGCACAAGCAATCACAAACCACAAAGCAATCCACAGATATGTCTGCCTCACATCCGTACTCCACCGCACAGCTCAACCAGATTTGTCACCGCAAGAAGAACTAACCTCAGCTATCTCGTTCACTGCCTGTAGGAGAACCGGAGAATCTTGTCACCCTGCCCATGGGCCACATCCAAGCACCTTTCCACAGGTCACACATTCATGACAGGATAACACAGACAAGAAGGGCGAACTAAAGACCTACAGATGTGACTCTCTGTGCTACATTGACACCTGACCACATGGGGTGAGCAAAAAAATGTGCATTTGTTCCCTGCTGCTAGGTTGACAATAGACTGCAACAACCCAACAGATACTAGGACCACCTGACATCATTCACCTGTGTCTGACCCGAGTTGATGGTGTGAAATCCGAACATTCATGAAGCTTCAATATCTCCCATATCTATCGCGCCTTCTGTCTCTTTCCCTGAAACAACGACAACCCCACCCCATACAACCACAAAAGCAACAACAATAAATCGTCTCCCCTGATCAAGAACACAAACGTAGTGAATGCGGCCACACACACAGAGAACATAACAGTCCACTCAAAAACAGAACAATCATGATGCATCGAAACAGTCATGGAAAGGAAGGACAATCACAAGCCTGAGGCTGGCTTCATCATCATGCAATGACCTTGACGGTATCGGACAAACCAAGTTCAGGGGCAGCAACATACTTGATAGTATGCGTTGATGCCTGGGGGTGGCTACATCATATAAGGCCCTTGATGCACTGACAAAACCAGTAAACAAAAGCTAGAGGCACCGCACGACCGGAGTGCGCAAGAACCTTCCCTGATGAAGCTGCAAACATAACAATCTCTGTGGCTCTCCCCTGCTTGCCTCTGGCAAACTATGAGCGGAACTACAAGCACTAGGCTGTGGAAGACAGCATTTCAGAACACACAAGGGTACCTGTTGCGGCAGGATGCCAACGGCGTAGGAGGGTTGGTGGCGAGTAGGGAATGTGGGGGATGCAGGTGGAAGAACCCCCCTGAGGTCGGGGCGTAGTTCTTGTTTTGAGGCTGTCCATTTGCTGTGTTTATGATCAACAAATGTTGCATGGATGCCGTGCGGTTGACTTTGGTGCAGTCTGCATTTCCAGGATGCCAACGGCGTAGGAGGGTTGGTGGTGAGTAGGGAATGTGTGGGATGCAGGTGGAAGAAACCCCCTGAGGACTATCGTTGGTTGGCGATCGGAACCGGTCGGGGAGCGCTTATTCTGGACTAAATTTCAATGCATGTGTGCATGTTTGCCGCCTTCCTATCAAGTGTGCATTTCACTATCTGCTTGCAAACCTTCCATCCAACTCTCTCTCTCTCTCTCTCTCTCTCTCTCTGTGTGTGTGTGTGTGTATGGCATGCGCATGTGCAAACTTTCTGTTCTATTTTTTTTTTAACGGGTCCCTATGGTCCCCCAATCAGATATGAAACTGATCGGAATAGATACTACACTTGACGGTGT